TTTTTGTCGGTCACAAGCATGTTATTTATTCGCACCATACGTGGCTTTTACTGGATAGGCAAAAAAAAAATTAAAATTAAAATTGATCAATAAACACAAAAGGTTAAATTGTTAAGGAAAATATCAATCGGCAGCCTAGTCTTCTCAAACAAACTTCTTGCAATCAGCAGATTACTTGCCTCAATCATCTCCAACAGATTACTTGCCTGGTTACAAGGAATTCCAACGGAAGAGCAGCCTAGAATCACGTCCAATTGTTGACTGTAAATCTTAAATTTAGGGACTCATTTATTGCAAAACATGTATATATAAATATGTGCTATAGTGTAAATCATCAAGCTGAAAATATGGTTTTTTCTCCAGCATAACCTCTTTCAATATTTATTCTCCTGCGAGCTTTTTGGTCTTGGTATCAGAGAGCTCACGCCAATTCTCGATCCAACACCTCCTTCAGGGCCATAGTGCACCACGATTTTTACATCTTCGGTCCAAGTTGCTAGTTAGCTCACCTCCCATCAGCTTGCAGGCGGGTGTTAAGGAAAATATCAATCAGCAGCCCCAGTCTTCTCAAGCAGACTTCTTGCAATCAGCAGATTACTTGTCTCAATCCTCTCCAGCAGATTACTTGCCTCAATCATCTTCAACAGATTACTTGCCTGATTGCAAGGAATTCTAACAGAAGAGCAGCCTAGAATCACATCCAGTTGTTGACTGTAAATCTTAAATTTAGGGACTCATTTACTGCTAAACATGTATATATACATGTGTTGTAGTGTAAATCATCAAGCTGAAAATATAATTTTTTTATCCAGCATTACCTCTTTCAATATTTCTTCTCCTGCCACCTTTTCTTTCTTAAATGAAATGAGAAAATCGTGTCCTAACCATATTATCATAAGAAAAATGCTGGAACTCTCGGAAATAAATCCCGAGATTGGCTCATCTCGGCCCCTAATTTGAATTCGACGGGCCTCGTGTGATGCAAGATTGAGGGTCGAAGAGCCAAACCTCGGATTTAATTCGGGGCTCTGAAGCACCGCTGTTATCATAATTACATGCTATGCAATAGTTCTTGAGTAAAAATAATTTGAATAATATTAATTGATGTTTAACTTGTGGAAACAAAATATACATGGGAAATTTGTAGTTTTCGTTTTCTACCTTTGCAAAAATCAAAATATTTCTAACATTTCGAAAATGTTCAAATATTGTTTGTTTGTTTGTTAAAAGAAAAAATGTAACAGGAGTCCTAAATCTTTTTCAAAAATTTACAACTAAAACATTTAAATACAATTGACAAAATAAAAAAGAAAATAATATCGAAAAAAGGGTGGGGGGTTTTCTTCCGAACCATCCTACTCCTCGAAGCAATGCATCCCCCACAATCCCCACCCAAACGACCACCGGCCAACCACCGCCACTATCCCTACCCCCACAACCCCCTCACTACCACCAGATTTCTTACCAACCACATTACTTGGGTCTACCAACCAAATGTTTAGTTGCACAAATTTACTTAAAAGCAACTTTTTACCTGCATAGCCAAACACGTTCTTGCTCTGCACTAAATTTTGATAATTCGGAGGGGAAATGATAGCAAATAATTATATATAATATCTTCCTCGTAAACTATCATTCAACTTTTTGATTCCTTTATACAATGTAATAATTATGCATCTCCATTAGTAGAACAAGCAAGAACTTGATTTTTCAGATTCTCAATTATCATAACCAGTTTTGTATTGAAACGATTCACGAAGCATTTGGGCAGCCATCCTGCTGGATCAAGCTGGACAATGTAAGTGACCATGCAAGAACCATCTTCAAGCTTCTCTACGACCCATCCCGACTGTAATAACAAGCCTCTTATGGCGTTATTTTGCTTTGGGTGTAAACCATCGGCTATCTCTTTCGGAAGAGAAGCTACTGCAACTACCTGTGTAGACGACAGTTAAAGTTTTTAGATAAGATAGTTGCACGTCTATTTTTATGGGTTTGTTGTGTAACACTTACCAGAGTTCCATCGTCCATGGTCTCACGTCGCTCGTAGACAATAAATTCTCGGTTTCTGAATAAAGGCTTGGATTTATCTCCGAACCGCAGGCGGATGATACTCAGATTTTCTTCAAGGTCTTTTATGTACCTGGCTTCTACTAAATCAGGGTCCCATTGCTACTCCATTCATCCCATCACAGTAAAAATGCAACAAATTTAGCTACTGGTGAAAGATAAAATTACCTATATACATGTTCAATGAGATGAATTAGAACCTATATGTTGGAAATTAGTTAATAAAAAGATGATTTTGATCAATTTTTGACCAATTATTTGGATGGGTCACGCTACTCGTATTTGGCGAGAAAAGAGTCAAACATGTTCTACTCCTTGAATAGATGAGTTTGGTATATTTGGAAGTCAAAAAACAACTTTAGGATGAATGAGAAATTAGTGAATGAAGTAGGGTTGATAAACATTATATTTGTACCAAATATTTGGATGGGTCTCGCTACTCGAATTTGGGAGAAGTGGGTCGAACACGTTCTACGCCTCAAGTAGATGAGTTTGATATTTATGGAAGTAAAAATCTATTTCGGTATGAATGAGAATTTTGTGAATAAAGTAGGATTGATAAACACTATACACATTATTAAGAAATAAAAAGTTAAAATCTCGTCTATTTTGAGAATATGTTCTCTATGCTTTATAATGAATTACACACCTTTGCAGCATCGATGGCATTGGCGACAGTAATAAATTGCTGGGCCGAGACAGATTTGAGCAACCATCGGCTGCGAAAAGTATGAAGTGAACCAGACCGGCGTTTCGATATCTCCATGCCATTGTCAATAGCAAGTATTTTCCAGCCATCATTTACATTACTACTCTCAACTGATCTATCGGAATCTGAAGCTGAAAGTAATTCCTGAATGCAGTTCTCACTGGCATGAAACACATATCTTCTCAATGAATCTTCACTAATAGACCTGATTCAAAACCAATATTTAAGCACTTATTATTGCCATCAAAATAAGTCTTAATTAAGCTGAAATGAACTTACACTTACCAGGA